TGAAAATCATATTAAATGTTTGTGTATTTTATCATCTCCACTATAAATGAAATTCAAATTACGTACAATAAAAGTCATATATCCTAAATGTAATTTCAAGCCAACAACGCAGAATCACAATTATCATACTATTGTCCACTAATTCGCAAAGTAAAAAAAAATAAAACATGCCTATATATAACCATGAAAAGAAACCAAACCAATTAACAAATTCAATTAAACCTTGAAGTTGCTAAACACAAAGTTTTAAAGTGAATCAAACATCACAACCTCAAAAGAACAGTGATAGTATGCAAAAATCCCATGACATATAGTTTCATGCAAACAAATTATCGAAAATCTTAGACCACACAAATAGTTCTGTTTCAACACCAATCGAAGCAAATATTCCGCGCGTAGCGCGGACCGACCCTAGTATAATATATATAAGAGATCAATATTGTATTTGTTATTTTACAATTAATAAAGATTATAGTGTTACAAAATGTTAAAATCCAACAGACATTTATATAAAATACTTACCCATACATGCGTGCGGGTATCAGCTAGTATGTTATTATATATGATCCCCTCTACAAGTGTGGGTATTTACAACTATAACTAGACTACTCTTAAGGTCATCATCCTAGGGCTAGGACTCTCATCTGAGCTTCTACTTGCATGTCTAATGGGTCTTTATCCTTTCATGTTTCTGCTCGCTCTCAATAAGATCTGTTTTGTCTTTTTGGATGTTTTATATGAGCCTTTGATAGTACTCTGCAATTGTAACCGTTTTACCCATTAATATTTTAATTTTAATATAAGCAATTGATGTTAAAAAAATCTTTGGATCTTGGGTTGTTGTATATATGGAATAGTTATAAAATCGAAGCACAACGGAGAATTCTAATAAACTAATTAACATCTCTCTTTGGGGTGGTGGTTTAATAATCAAGCCTTGGCAATAATAGAAGTCTACCTATGAACACATGTAAAGAGATATTTTGCCTTTTAATAGATAGTAATGAGAAAATAAGCAGTTTGGTCCCGAAATATTTGAAATCTAAATTTTTAATATTCATATTATTTGCGCATAAATATTTTTTAATTAATAATTGACTGAGCAAAATTGAGAACAAAATAATCAACTATTAACTGATGAACAGAAAAATAACTTTTTTAACTTTTAATGGTTGATTATAGGGATGAGCGTTTGGATACCCATTCGGATTCGGATCAGGTACTTCGGATTTTTGGGTATTTCGGTATTGAGGTCTAGTACCCGTTCGGATATTTTTATTTATCGGGCCGGATTCGGATATTTTTAGTTTGGTTTGGGTTATGTTGGATCGGGTTTCGGATATTTAGATTTTGAAAGAAAAAAAAACTAAAATTCTTCATTGCTCAAATTTCATGTATTTAAAATTTTATTATTAACTTAACTATTTTTAAAATGTTTAATAGGTTAGATAATTAATAAGTTTAAAAATAAATTATTGAAAATAGAAAATCATTAATCTGGTTGTTATTTTTAATTTTGGACGCAACATTTGATAAAACATAAAATAAAAGCTTAATATGTATTTAAAATAAGTAGCAAATCCCTTTTTACAGTTATATATATATATATATATTATATGACATTAAGCCATATACAACATTAATATAAATATATTGAATAAAATGAGAAAAATAAATTAGGAATAAAATATGTATATATATATATATATATATATGTTCGGTTATTTCGGATATTCATTCGGGTTCGGGTATTATTCGGTCGGATTCGAATATCCGGTTTCTCCTAACTCAATACTCGTTCAGGTATGTTGTTACTTCTGTTCAGATTTTGGTTCGGACATTTTAAATCGAGTTCGGATACGAGTTTGGATACCGGGTAAAATGCCTACTCCTAGTTGACTATTTTATTTTTCAATTTTGCAGTCAATTATTGTTGGGAGTAAATATATACATATCATATTTGAATATTGATTAACCGATTGAAAATAGTTGAAAAACTAAAAAAAAAAAAACTCTGTTAGAAAAAAATAATAATTTAAAAGATTTTTAAATTAGATATAATCAGTATACGAGATTTTTATCATTTAAAGAAGATTTTTGAGGTTTTGCAATAATGTATTAAACAATACAAATATTTATAGTTGATTGTATTGATAATTTACTTCATGTTTATAAAATTACCTATAAATGATTTCGTATTGTTTAGACAATTATATGTTGTATATTGGATCTCTACGGTTATCAGCTCTATTAATTAAAGCATACTTGTCAGATTTGTTAATGCAGTGCCAATATCATTCTCCGTCACAATCTTAAGTAGGTCGATCCGTCGTTACATCGAAGGAAAAAAAACAGATATGGAAACGACTTGTTATTTTCTAGTTTTATGATTCAGGGTAATGGATATATGAAAATAATTCATGCGTTATTTGTGTCATTTCTTGTTTCTTGTGAAACACATAACAACAGTGATCTACTTTAGATATTTGATATCTCAGAAGTACTAGCTGTGCGTATGGAGTCAATCTCGCCACATACCGACTATTTTTTTTTTGAACGACAATTTCATTAAAAGATAAGCAACGTTACACATGAAGCAGAGCAGAATCAGAAGCATGCAGGATTCCTTTGGCAAGGGAATCCGCCGCTTAATTGTTTTTGCGGGGAATGTAAAAAAACGAGATAACAGAGAACTCTAGAGACAATTTAAGAATATCATGGATGATTCCAAAGAGCTCTTTAAGAGGTTTCCTGTCGTTAATGGCTCTGACTAGCGTCTGAGCGTCCGATTTCACTGTCAAGGTGGTGAAGCCCTTCTGTCTTGCTTGGTACAGAGCTTCACGGATGGCCAGTCCCTCTGCAACGAGGGGAGAAGACACAAACAAATCCAGTTTAACATCTTGCGCGATTATGTTTTCTGCTTTATCTGTGAAAATCCAGCCGAGTCCCGCCTTGTTGTCTTTCCACGCTGCGTCTGTGTATACCACTGTTTCAGACGTGAGATTACTTCTAGGTTGGACAGTTGATCTTTCTACCCCTTGGGAGCTCGTTGAGGATTGATGATGAACTTGAACTTGAGCTTCCTGCCATTCGCGCGCCAAAACAACAGCTTTTACCAATGTTTCTTCAGCTGTGATCACTCTGTTTTCGAAGATTAACTGATTTCGAGATGTCCAAATAGTCCAGCATATCCATGGGAACAAAGGTCCCAAGCCCAGACCTGTTGGTGGTAAATTCGTGAGTTTTTTGGCCGCCATTAGAGCCGTGTCGAAGCTAGTTGCGTTAGCGATCACACCGCAATGGAGGATGGGAGCCAAGTCCCATATACGTTGTGCAAACCTGCAGTGGAGGAAGAGATGTGTTGCTGTTTCACGAAGGCCACAATACACACACAGAGAATTTGACGCAATGCCTCTCTTTTCGAGGTTCTCGCCCAGAGGTAATGCACCTTTAACAATTTTCCAGAGAAAAACTCTAATTTTTGGGGAGAAAAATCCTCTCCAAATATCAGTGTTCCAATTGCAGGGAGCTTGGGAAGAGACCAATGGCTGCAGATTCTCCTTCATTGATAAGCCTGTGTAATATCCAGTTTTTGTACTGTAAACCCCATCAGTTGTTGGGAGCCATACCAACTCATCAGCTATTCCAAGTTTGCTAGGTTTAATACTGAGGATTTCAGTAGTAGCCTGAGGTACATGCTGATTGATTAGATCTAAATCCCAGTCGCCTGTTGTGTTGTCGATGAGGTCTAAAACCCTCCAGTCTTTAGTTTCCGCAGAAGCCGGTCCCATCAACCTAGTCGGGGTAGATGAGGAGAGCCAGGGGTCATCCCACAATGCCGTATCACAACCATTTCCAATTGCCTTTCCAGTATTAGCTAGCAAAAGATCGCGGCCATACAGAATGCTGCGCCACCCGTGTGAGCATGAAGAAGACGCCGGAACCTTGAGGAACTCCTTTTCTTTGCAGTATTTTCCAAGTAAAACTTTTTCCAGCAAGCAGTCAGGTTTTGTTGCAATTCTCCAACTCTGTTTTGCCAACAGTGCCACATTAAACATCTCAATGTCTCGCAAGCCCAAACCACCGTCGCCCTTTGGCTTTGCCAATTCCGACCAGGCAACCCAACACATCTTACGCTTGTCGGGATTAGAGTCCCACCAAAACCTAGTAAAGGCTGATTGGAGTTGCTTGATGAGGCTAAGAGGTAGTTTAAAGCAAGTCATTGCATAGGATGGTTTAGCTAGCAAGACTGACTGAAGCAAAACTAATTTTCCAGCTGTAGATAGCTTTTTTGTGCTCCAGCTCGCCGCTTTTTGCCTTATATTGTCCACAATGGATGTAAACATATCTTTCTTTTTTCTTCCAAAGTGTTCCGGCAATCCCAAGTATTTTCCTACACCTCCTTCCTTGTTGATTCCCAAGCTGGTTTTTACTCTGTTCTTCACATCTGCCGGTGTCTTTTTTGAAAAGGTGATAGAAGATTTTGCAGTGCTGATCATTTGACCCGACGCTAGCTCGTACTTAGCCAGGATCTCCTTTAGTGCGTCCACACTTTTTAAAATGGCGATGAATGGCTAGCTGTACTCTTTTGACTTCTCTTGAAACAAACTTTTCGATATTCTAGTTTTCTAACACGTGATGCAAGCTGTTTAGTTTTAAACATGACGATAGGAAATGATTTGATGTCTGAATAATCTCCGTGAAATGAAATTAACCAAAATTCAGATTTAACAATCTTACTGGAAGTTAAAATATATGATTTTCTAAAAGCATAGTCAAAATGATCATTTTTCTAACTATTTTATTATAATGTAAATGTAAATTTTTTTATTCATATTATAAGTAAATACAACATGTCATAAAACTCAAGCTTCTATAATTAAACGAGATTAAAATTCAACAAACTACTAATGAAAATAATCATAAGCAACAAAATATTAATGAAAATAATCATAACTGCAGCAAAGAAAGACAAATAACTTTGGCCTGCGGTAGTAAAACTAATGATAATAATCATAAGCAGCAAAATAAGTTTGGCTTGCAGTAAGAACTAGCAGAATAATTGCAGCAAAGAAAGACAAATATGCCCAAGGGCTATAGAAGTACCTTTCTCTCAATGTCGCGAACTGCTTCTCCATCTCGATTGTAGTTGGCCATTTACTGTGATAAAAATCAGAGACCTCAGTGAACAATGGATACAAATAAATATCACTGATCTCCACAATTACGCCCTGACATAGCTGGTTGAACATATCCACGACTTCAGAATGACTCCCTAGCGTGTGTTCTATGATACCACATTTCTCAAAGTAACTAACAACTTCGGCAGAGTCTATCAGATTGTTCATGAAGATACAGTAGGATGTTATGCTGTTGCTCGATTCCACATGACACTGCTCGAAAGCTATGAGATTCGAGAAGAGATATTTGGTACCTACATGAAAATGGAGAGGGATGGGCCTGTAAGTTTGAAGAGTAGTAGGCCTGGATACTTTACCCCATACCCAAATTAATACTAGTCCGAACTGAAATAGTAAAATACCCAAATAAATATTTAATTATGAGAGATTGGATATTCGAACTCGAATGGATAATATCCAAATCCGTATGGATATCCGAAGATAACTGAACATGTATATACTTAACCATATATTTCTATTTAGATCATATAACAATAATTTCAACATTAGTGTTATGAATACTGAAAAAGAAAATAATATTGTTTATTTCAGTCATAATTTATAAGATTCAAAGAATTTATGCATTAAACAAAAATTGAACTTTAAAAGAGAGTAAAATTGTATTATATTTGTTAGTGAAAATAAACTAAAAACATGTTGGGAGGGAGGGGGAATATATAATTTACCGTCATGGATCACTAGAGTTGGTATATCTAGACAACCGTCGTTGAACTTAATATCCCAAAACAGGCCGGTCCTCCTGCTGCGAAACTGAACTTTGGCAGCCCTTAATTCCGTCGCCGAAGGTATCAATTGATGTAAGATATTGTTCCGCACGGGCGAACGCATCGGCCATCTACACATCGGCTTAGAATTTGGCAGTAGCAGACTTCCCCGGAAAACATCAACACAGTGCAAATAATTCAACTCGTCCGCTGATGGCTCACTGGATATGTCTCTTGCAAACGTCACGGCCGTTGGCATTAGCGGTTCAAAAAACCGAACCACTAAGTTGACCACTAATCCAGTTTGGTAATGTTTACCGAGTTGTAGCTCTAACAACCGGCTGAGTACGAACAAAGGAAGTTGATTTTCCAGCAGTATCATGTCACGTTGTAAAGGAAAAAATGATCCCCGAGTCCCGAAAACTGGATCATTAGGTTCGTATCTGCACAACACCCAAAAAAGGAATTCAAATATATGCCTTCTGTTCCAAAAGAGGTATGTTTTAGAATGTTAACACATATTAAAAACAAACATATTTAACTTTGATTACAAATGCACAATTTCTTGTTATTAGCTATTCTCCGTAGCTTTTAAGTTTTTTTCCCCCGGTTATGTTGTTTAACATATGTGATTCAGATCCGTTTATCTTATACTTCATCCGTTTCAAAAAGACTCACATTTTAGAAAAGAATATTGTTTCAAAAAAATAAAAAATATATATATATATATATAGTTTTTTACAATTTCGGTGCATTACCTAATAGCAAATTGCATGATTCAAAAAACACAATTGTGTTTATTGAAATTTCATTGGTTTTCTTTTTGTGTGACACAAGACAGAAATTGAATCACGCTTACCCGAGTTGAGAGAATCCATTCTGACATCCAGTGAGGAGCTCCAGAACAAAGCAGCCATCACGAACGAGCATTAATGTGAACATGTTACTGTTTAAGGTAATGGTACCTTCATAGCAAGCTCGAGCCTTTTCCTCGAGCTCAACCATAGCATCAAGAAACACTACAATGTCTAGCATCGTACGTTCCAAAACCTTATTAACAGCACGCCATTTGTGGCATTCCATGGAGGTTTGCTCTTGGCCATAGTGGTATGGACCAAGCGAGACAGTCTGTGGGAGATACAATTTCTTGTCATCTCGGTGCAAGTAACGTGGAACTTTGTAAATACAGGACTTGCCCGAGCTAGTTCTGTCATCTTGTTTTGCTTGCTCGAGCTTATCTCTTATCGAGATAACCCAATTATGCCGTGTAGTCCCACTCCCTTCACACAGCTCAATCGTACTAGGTGGTAATGTTGTTGTTGGTGTTGGAGAAGGAGGAGTAGTACTAAAGTTCTGCATTTTTTTGGTTGAAAGTTTTTGGAAGGAGGGAGAGAGAGCGCAATGCTTGGCTGTAGCAACCACGCAGTCATTAACTACAAATATATAATATATTGCTTTTGTGTTGTCTTTTAAAACCACTTATAAAATAGACTCATCATGACATCATATATGATTGCAATACTTACATCTAACGAGCACGATTAAAAACAATAAAATTCATATAAACTACCGAAAACGAATTATCGTTCTTACAAAAAGAAAATATGGACTTTACACAAGGTATAAAAAGTAACAAATAGATCGAATATGTAGTTTAGTGGTTTATGTTGCTGTTATTATTGTATCCCCATCTAAGTTCTTTTTGATTGAACATATCACCATCTAAGTTCAAACAAAGCATAACGTAAATTGATATAAAAAAAAAATAGGTGTATAAATTTACAGAATTGTCTGAAAAAGAAAACCATCGCATTAACCACATCGTGGTGGTTTAGTGGTTTCCATTAAAAGATAAATTGTTATATTGGTTCAGACCATGGATCAATTTTTTTCTAGTGCGAAATTATTAATTTCACATGTAGTCACGTGGATATGAACTCATTGTTTACTGTCCATTTAAATATCCAAAAAAAGATTTATCTATGAATTGTATTTCTCATCCAAAAATTAGATATGTATTTTTAATAGATTTGAATTTGATCATTAATTTTCAAAAAAAAAATCATCGCATTGTTTTAGATCTGACCAACGGACGTATCTTACTAATAAAAAATGTTACTCTTACTAAATAACATGTAAATTTTTATGGTCAACGTCATAACGTGTTAGAGGATTTTGAAGAGTTTTTCTTAAGTTCATTGAAATGAAGATGAATACTTTTAAAATTGTTTTCACCAAAAGAAAAGAATACTTTTAAATTTGTTAAGTTAATAGACATGTATCCACGTTTCTGAACGAGACCTGGCCCCCCAATAGTTTCCTGTCTCTCTTGGGATCCCTCCGATCATCTTGATTTGACCATGAGAGCATGTATGTCAACTAAGGTGAGGAAAACATATGGAATTCAAGATCCGATCCAATTCGGTTTGCAATATAAGGTCTATTTTTTGTAATTAACAACAAATGCTTTCTAAAAATAAGGTCTTCGAAACTTTCTAGTCCAGTTTGGTAATTTGATTTAAATACTATAATATCAAGTTCTGCTTATATTCGATTGGATTTTCATTTTTAGTTAATTATGTAAGATATAATGAGTAGCTAAATTACACATGTTTTGACAACTAACTTTGGGTTAAGCGTATTGTGATGTCTTAATTTGTTTTATTCGGTCCTTGGAGTTTTTTTAGTTATTATTATAGACTGTCATAAGTCTTATTTAAAGACATCAAAAAGTCTTACTCCGTATTTAAAGACGTCAACAGGTCTTATTTAAAACTACACTTACAAAAAAGCTTTCATATTAAATGCATAGGTAAGAAATATGTTTAGACACGGATTGGATATCCGAGTTTTTAAAGTATTTATAATTTGTTTCATATGTTAGGGATATCTAATTTTTTGATTTTCTTTGCTTCGAAAAATACATTTGCTTCGAAAAATACATATATTCAGAAAAACGGATATCCAAAAAATAAATAGATATTTGCGGATATTTACGAATACTTGCGGATATTTACGAATACTTACGAATATCTCATATGTTTTGATTAATACAAATAATCTTAAAAAATTTCTACAGTTTTGTTTTGTAAAATATACTTTTGCATGATATATAAGATAAAAGTTAAAAGAATTAGTGAATTTACAATTATAATTACACAAAACTTAAGAAAACAATTATAATTGTCATAAATATTTGCCTTTTATGTAATACTTTTATATAAGTAATAATATGAATAGAATTTGATAAATCATTTGTTAGAATAATAATTATATAGTTTTCTACATTTAAAATTTTAAGTATAATCAAGATATACATGTATTTATATATTCACGGATCGGATCGGATAACCACTTCCAATAATTTCAATATTTGTGATTTGCTTCAATTTTAACGGATACTGATTTTTAGTATTTGCTTTACGGATATCCAGAATTTTTAGATCGAATCAAAACAAATAACGAATCAAACAAATTTAACGGATAAAATGTCCAGCCATAGTAATAGAAATATGAGTTTTCACTTACAAATTTAAAAAGTTTGCAACAAGAAAAAGGTTTTAACACAACCATAGTGAAAGATCCACAAATGAATCTTAAAAGGCGAGAAAATGAAAGACAAAAAAAAAACTAGTTCCCTCGGCCACGTTAACCTTTTTCTCTCCTTCTGCTATCATTTGTCCATTCCATATTTTGAAACTTTTGGATTGGTCTTACTGGCCTTCCTCTTCTAATTAAGTTACAACTAGAAGTTTCCCCAATCACATCTAGATCATGCTCTTTGTCAAACGTGAGAGGAGTCTCTGCCTCCACGTGGAATTGATGATGGTTACTCATTTTTAATAGCGTGAGAGCCTTCCAAAATGTTAACTTGTGATGAAATTTCTTCCATAATTTAGGATTGAGAGTGCGCAGCGATTGTGGCTGCTGATATAGATAAAATGTTATCAATCTTTCATAAATAGGTAGAATGTACCCCATGCGAATATGTGAACGGATCAGCAGTTGCATCCTCGCAGTGAGTAGTAACAGAAGATTTCGTAGGAGTCTCACGTTTGGTGGGCAGAAGGTGAGTACAAGTTTAGTTCCAAGTGGTTGACATGTGTATAGAGGTGTTTGGCAACAATTGAACTATATCCACCATTAGGATCTCTTTATTGGTAACTTGAGTTTTTTTTTTTTTTTTTTTTTTTTTTTTTTTTTT